TTCGAGTCCCATTTAGCGACTCTGGAGCTCAAAATGCGGCTCGAGGTTTGGCCGCCTCCACCGGTCTTCTGGGCCACTGTGCAGCAGCCCCGCAGCTGAAAGGCCATACAGGCGACACGCTATGAGCCGCAGACTCCCCGAATCAAACGGAACCAATGGACTTCTCGTTTGAAGGGCAGTCCAGAGGTGATGCCGTGTTTGGTTTCAACCCCATTTCAGAATTTTCGAGTTACGTCGGGTCAACGTGTCGGGATTTTCGTCCGCCTGGCCTGCCGGTGTGGCCATGCCGGCCACCCCAGCCCCAGCCCCAGCACGCCGCCGAGCGTGAGTAACACGGTAGCTCGCTGCAGACTGATTCCGATTGGGGGTCTCCCCGTCTCCCTCGCACTCGCGGGGCGCCGCGGGTGCGAGAGAGACAGCGCATCGGCCCACGCACGCCGCCGCCACCTTGATCCATGAGGCCGCCCCGCCGCGCCGCCCCAGCGATGATTCGTGATGGGCCAACCGGGCCGAGCAAAAATATTCGGCTGTGGGCGGCGGGGTGCGGCGGCGAGGCCTCGGAGGGCCGTGCGCCCGTGGTGGGCCTTGGTGGGCCGAAGCCTGATCGTCCTGGGAGCGGCCGGGGCCCCCAACGGGCTGCAGGGCTTACACGCTTTCGCTCTCAGCGCAGTGGCCGCCCTTGACACAGCCACCACACCCCCCCGCCCCGCCCCGCCCCACCCCGCCCCGCCCCCCGCCCCCCCGCCCCGCCCCGCCCCACCCCGCCCCGCCCCGCCCCGCCCCACCCCGCCCCGCCCCGCCCCGGCCAGAGGTGTCTCTGAGCCGTCATTACTAGGAGTGCAGTGCAGCGCGCAGGCCGCGTTGCCAGACCGAGATGAAGGCAAAATGTCGCCCGCAAACTAGAGTCCACGTTTAAATTCTGGGCCTGACCGCCAAAAAAAAAATATCCGGCCGACTTCCGGTCTGAGACACTTCCGGCCAACTTCGAGGTACCCAGGTACCCAGGGCGAATTGCGAATTCCGGTCGACTTCCAAGAAAGTCCTGGCCCACTTCTAGAAGACACCCATGCGTACCCAAGCCAACTTCCAACGAAACTTGGATGACTCTCGCTGGAATTCCGATCGACTTCCGGACAACTTCCGGCCGACTTCCGAACGACTTCTGGTCATTTCCCTGTTGACCGCGGTGGGCTTTCGAATCCTGGCTGACTTGGAGGCTGATCCTGGTTGAATGGCGGCGGAGTCCCGGTAGACGCCCTTGTCGTCGACCAACCTCTTTTCCGCGACCACGCCGACGGCGGCCGACGGTGGAGCGGAGAAGGCCGGTCGCTTGCTTCGTTAGTGACCCAGCACGCGGACCGCACTCTTAAAACCTTACGAAGTATTTTGAGCATACATATAACAAACTAAAATACTTTGTTATACGAAGAAATACACTGTCAAAAAAATTAAGTGCAATCGACCAATTGGTTTTGGTCATTCGAACTAAAACTAATTCTTAGTCGAGTCAACTAAAATTTAGTTGAGTGTAGTCGCTGCCCACCCTGCGAGGTCCGTCAAGGTGCTGCGCTCGGCCAGGCAGCCTCTATCAAGTCGGTGGCGCAGTGGTTAGCGTTGTTGCACGACGTGTCAGGGTATGCGTGTTCGACACCCGCCAGAAGCTCCGATTTTTCGACTCTTTAATTAAGTGTCAGTGCCTCTGGGACGCTGACGTCACATTTAGAAGGAGGTCGTGTGGTCACGTGATTCTCTCCAACCAATAGGAGAGGAGGCAGTTCTTAGTAATCTCAAAAGGATCTCGAGGAGATCGAATCAACTAAAACTAAGAAAATCGTCATCAAGTCTCCAAATGGTGTGACGTCACCGCTGCTTACATCACAAGAGCCGACTAAAGGGAACTGACTAAATATTTTGGTCAAAATTTCGACTAAGTTTTGTTTGATTTGACTATTATTTGGTCGTTTTTATCGTCCACTCATGCTCGATTGGCGTGTTCTTAATTCTACTAATTCTTAGTCGCCCTGAAAAACGACTAAATTTCTTAGTACAATCCACTAAATTTTAGTCGATTGAACTTTATTTTTTTGACAGTGTAGTTCGTAAATTGCGAAGTATTTTCTTTGTAAGCTTACGTATGCTCAAAATACTTTGTTATACAAACTACTTTTCTTTGTAAGGCCCAAAATAGTTTGTAAGGTTTTCTCAGTGCGCAGGCTCTGTCTCTCTCGCACTCACGGCGCGTCCCTCGCAGGTGCGAGAGAGACAGAGCACGGCTCTGCCGGCCGGCCTGCCTGCGGCGGCCGGACGGGGATAACTAACCACGTGACGGCGGGCAAAGCCGCCAGGACAGCGCGTGGGGGCCACGGCCACACACGGGGAAACTGTCTCTCTCACACCCCTTCGGGACGCCCCATGAGCGCGAGAGAGACAGTGCGATGGCTAGGCCGCCAGCGAGACAAGCGGCGGCGCGGCGAACGGAACGACACGGAATCGCTGAGCCGGACGGACGTCCCACACACAGTGGGCCAGAAACCGGTGGAGGCGGCCAAAACTCTAGACGCGTTTTGAGCTCCAGAGTCGCTAAATGGGACTCGAACCGAACGTGTGACCCCACCAATGGATTGCTCTCCGAACGAGGAATCCATTGGCGGGGTCACACGGTCGGTTCGAGTCCCATTTAGCGACTCTGGAGCTCAAAACGCGTCTAGAGTTTTGGCCGCCTCCACCGGCTTCTGGCCCACTGTGCCACAGCCCACACGGCAAGGCCAGGCAAGGCCGCTCTTTGCGTCAAAGAGACAGCTAATGGGATGTTTACTTGTGTAAGTCGCCGCCGCGCGTCCGCTTTTGTTTCCCTTTCCTTTTTTACGCGGTCTTGTTTAGTTCAATTAACAGTGCCTTGGTCTATCTCACTCGCATTGATCAAGGTAACACCATCCAAACGCTTTTTTTAGAATCCGATTGAACAGTTTCGAGAAGAATGTGCCATTTGCCCGTTCGTCCAATGGACTTGGGCGTTCCGGCGGAAAGTCTGTCTGTCCGTCCGCCCGCTCGTCCCTTTGATGCAATGACACGGTTCTCTGTGCGACGGACACGCTTTGCGAGCCCCTTTGCGTACAAAGCACCCGCTTGGCCCAGTTCCGCCCCGCGGTCCCGCCTTCATTTGTAATGCAGTTACCCATCACGGCTCGGGCCTGGCTCGGCTCGGCCGCCGGCGGGCCGGCCTGCAGTTCGTTCGTTTGTCGAGCCATTCGTCCGCGAAAGCGCCGCGGGCACACTGTAGGGGGTTGCAGTGTACCAGTGTACACGCTGCAGTGTGCCCAGCCCCGGCCGTTTTCGTCTCAAGATGAGGGCCTCCTCCCACTTCTCCTCCAAACTCAAGCAGCCCGACCGCGCACAGCGTGTAGGCGGTGGCGGGGCGGGGCGATGCGTGGTGATGTTCGCCTTGGCGTTTCCACGCATCGCCTGACGCAGCGGAGCAGAACTTATTTTCCAAACCAACAAAAAAGTTAGTCGCCACTGGTGTTTCCTTTTTCTTTTCTTTTTTCCACCTCTCCCCCTCTTTCTTTCTCACTCAACACCCCCTCCCCCCTTCCCTCCCTCTCTCTCTCTCTCTCTCTCTCTCTCTCTCTCTCTCTCTCTCTCTCTCTCTCTCTCTCTCTCTCTCTCTCTCTCACACACACACACACCCTCACTCTCCGGCCAAGAGTGCGTGCGTGCGAGCGAGAGCCAAAGTGACCCGTCGACGGACGGCCCGTAAATTGCGCGAAATGTCCAACAATAAAGGCTCAATTACCGGGTAATTTTCGGTGTGATGAGCGACCCTCCTTCCTCGGCCGACTCGCGCGCATTACGACTAAAAGGGATGAATTTAGCGAGGAGTGGGGGAGGAAGGGAGGGGGGAGGAAGGGAGGGGGGAGGAAGGGAGGGGGGAGGAGGGAGGAGGGAGGGAGAGGTAGGGGGGAGAAAGGGGGAACGCACCGCCATAGCACGGTCAGGTTAATTGACAAAGCACCGGGCGTCATGAGCCCGGCGAACTACTTGGGCATAATCAAGTTTTGTTGATTTCACAAGTGACCTACTTCCGAGGGCCCAAAGACGGGTCCGCGGGCGGCGGGCCAAGGGACGCGGGCCTATACCGCCGCCACAATGTGCTTGTACACTGACAATTCATTAAGTTCCTAATGTAAGGCACAAACTGTTATTTAGTTTGCTTTTAGAATTGTTCCGTAAACGCACACTGTGGCAAAAACGAGGGGGCCACCACTCTCATTTCAGGCGTACACAAGATTACGGGATTAAGGGAAATTTACTGGGGATCACGCGTGAAATTTTGCAAAATTGGTTCAAAAACGTTGAAAAGTGGCTCAAAAACGTTGAAAAATGACAAAATTTTGTGAAGGATTACGTGATTACGGCATGGATTACCGGAGATTACCAGCCGATTTGTACACAGGATTACGGGGGTGGTGGCCCCCTCGGGCAAAAAGGTACGGAAAATACTGTTAATTTTTTTGCCAGGATTCTCCGTAGCCCTCTTATCAATAGTCTCCGTAGGCTCTTACAGTATTCTCCGGAGGGCCGTACAGTATTCTCCGTAGGACCGCACAGTTTTCTCGGTAGGACCTGGAAGACTGAATAGTCCTACGGAGAACACTGTAAGGTCCTACGGGGAATACGGTGCGGTCCTACGGAAAATACTGTAAGAGCCTACGGAGAATACTGACAAGGGGGCTACGGAGAATTACCACAAGCTGTTTACAGGATTTTCCGTAGCTTTTTGCCACAGTGCAGAAGTCAGTTCTATGTCAGCTTGTCTGCTCATAATACGTTGTTAGACATTTTCATCAAAGCTCCTAAACTTATTGCATGGGCGTGACAACAATGTCATCAATTGTTTTTGTTGTAAGGAAAATTAGCCTTGAAATTGTCATCAAGTGACGACTCAAATTTCCACAGAATAGACAGAAAGGTTCACAGTGTAGTTGGAGGAGGCGACTCACCCTCGGCGGGGGTGTAGATGTTGAGGTAGAGGCAGTCCTCGCTCTGGTTGGCCAGCAGCGGCAGCAGCCTCCGCAGCGCCTCGAGGCGGCCGCGCGGCATGCGCTGCAGGGCGGCCGTCTCGTTGGCGATGTCGGGCAGCCGCTGCGGGCACACTGGCGGGAAGTGCTGGGCCAGCCGCACCCCCTGCCACTGCGCCCCCGACACGGGCGGCATGAACCGCAGCGACCCCACGGGGGGCATGGCGTACGGGATGCCGCGGTACACCTGCAACAATCAATTAACAATTTAAAAGCGGTTCGCGCCGCGCACAGCGACACAGATTCATGTTGTTCACTCTATCATTTTTGTTTGTTTGCACCTCGCCATGGTTTTCAATTTTTAAGACGTCAGTCGAAAATGTACAAAAATAAACACTTAAAATCATATTTTATTGCAAAAAAAAATCTTTAAAAACTTGTAGAAAAATCTTTTTAAAACCTTGCACAAAATGCTCCAAAAACTAAAGGAAACAACTTTAAAAACTGAACTTCAAAATCTGTAAGATTAAACTTCGAAAACCTGAAGGCAAAACCACAAAATCATATAGACACTTCAAAAATTACAAGAAACTTGAAAAAGACTTTTAGAAACTTCGAGAAAAGACTCGAAAAACTTGACAACACTTTACTTCAGAAACTTTAAGAAAACAACTTCAAAGGGTAGCAGAAAAACTTCAGAAACTCGTAGTAAGAACGGAAAAAACTGTCATTAACCCTGATGGAGGCCAGTCCAGCCTGCTTCCTCCATTGGTGTGTGCAGGACTCCGCCGTCACGCGAACGGAGCAGCGCGGGCAGGATGGCACGCGCGTGTCCGGGCCGCGTTTTGCATTGTCGAGTCTGGCACGGTCCAGCAGCTGTTGCCCGGACAAATATAACTTCCTTAAAGTTTCCTCGCGCTTCCGCTCCTATCGCCAACTCGCAGAGGCGGTGTTTCGTTCGGTGCCAGCCTGAGTGGAAAGGGGAGAGGGTGAGAGGGGGGAGAGGGAGGGAGAGAGAGAGAGAGAGAGAGAGAGAGAGAGGAGAGAGAGAGAGAGAGAGAGAGAGAGAGAGAGAGAGAGAGAGAGAGAGAGAGAGAGAGAGAGAGAGGGAGAGAGAGAGAGAGGGAGAGAGGGTGAGCAGGGGCCGTCGACGCATGGCCCCGGGACAAAAGAGTCCTAAGCCTCGCTGTCTTACGGTGCTAGTCCAAGCCGGGCAGCAATCACACAGCCCGAAGAATGATTCCTTGCGACAGCCTCCCCTTTAATCACAACGGAAGCGCGTCTGCAAAACTGGAACGGAGGAAAAAGTCGTCCGCGAGAAACAACAAACAGTCCTGACGTTGCGAACGGTTTTTGTTCTTGTTTTTTTCTTTGCTACTTGATACTATATCCGTGCGACTCGAGTGAACCGTTGGCCGAAATGTCGGATAAAAGGAAAGAGGGAGTCGACCGCTCTTTAGTCCGGCCCTCCTCTCTCGGTCCGATGGCCAACGTGTTTGAGGCGGCTGACTCGACAAAATCGCATGCGCGGTCGGTCCCCGCCCCGCCCCGGCCCCGGTCCCGGTCCATGGCAGGGTCAAAGGGGTGTCCGCATTGTCCGCATTGGGTAGGCACCAGCACCCAAAAATTCATTTTTTTCAATGCCAAAAAATATTTTTATCGTGTTATTGTTATCATCTTTTTTTTGCAGGTGGCGCTGGTTTTAATGAGCATGAAGATCACGTCGTTAAAACTATAGTACCGCGACCGGGCAAAAACGCGTGAGTTAGGGACGCCACGCCACTGCCCGGTTGAGCTACCATATCACTGTGAAAATTTGTTGTCACTTCATGACAAAAACGTGGATGATATTTTCATCTCTTTCAAATGATGACAATCTCGTCACAAATTGGTGACATTTTTATCAAAGCTCCTCTAAGTATTGCATGGGCGTGACAACAATGTCATCAATTGTTCTGATAACGTCGTTGTAAGGAAAATTAGCCTTGACATTGTCATCAAGTGACGACTCAAATTTTCACAGTGATCAGACACGGTCTACACGTTAAAAACGGTTCCTGGTTTTCCCAGGAGCTCCCTGGAAATCGCCTGTGTCTCTACCATAGGCTTCCTGGGAAAACCAGGTACCGTTTTTACCGTGTACAAGTTTTCCCACAGTCGATTCCGCTAGCCTTTCACAGCGTAGAGCGGGGCTCGAAGCAAGCAGGACGCTGGCTCTCCTCTTCCCATTGGCAATCCATTAGTGGCCCCACGTGCGTGATTCGCGCCGCGTTTACCGCACTGTGAAACGCGTTCCAAGCGCGCGCGGTCTTCTGCCTGCAGCGCTGCAGAGCCCCCGCCGGTCAGGACGGCGACAAAAGCCGGTCCCGGCGCACAGTGGGCCAGAAGACCGGTGGAGGCGGACAAAACTCTAGACGCGTTTTGAGCTCCAGAGTCGCTAAACAGGACTCGAACCGAACGAGTGACCCCACCAATGGATTGCTCTCCAAACGAGGAATCCATTGGTGGGGTCACACGTTCGGTTCGAGTCCCCTTTAGCGACTCTGGAGCTCAGAACGCGTCCAGAGTTTTGTCCGCCTCCACCGGTCTTCTGGCCCACTGTGCGCCGGTCTGTCTCTCCGTCTCTCACCCCCCACGAGTGCGAGAGAGAAGTAAAAACTTGAAAAGGCGGCCAAGGCGCATAATGACGGCATTCTAATGTCGCCTCGATGGCGGCGTTGTCACGCTTTGTCTCCGAGGAGCGCCGCCCCTTGATAAATGGCCTCGACGCCTTCCTCGCCTTCGCCTCGCCCGGCGCGTCCCGCAGCACCACAAGCAATACGTGTCCGCGGCCGGCTGCCCCAGTCGTAATCCCCGCGAGGGCGGATAAAAACAACATAAATATTTGAGGTGTATTTTCCTCCCCGCCACGCTGGAGGTCACCGGAGGCAGCACTTTCTCGCTCCTTTTTGGCGCGCAGTGCCGCGCAGCGTGCAGCCCCCACAAAGTTGCCGGACAAAGAGCGCGGAAGACACAAGGCGCGCTCAGTGCATGGCCCTTTACAGCCCCGCAGTCAGAGAGAGGTCGAAAGAAAGGGCGGCGAGGCAAGTGACCGGCCCGGCGCGGACTTTTCATCGCCGCGGTCTTGGCCTCCTTGTCGGCCAACGCTGAGAGCCCTCACCTCAACAACAACCGTAACTCGGAACGTCGCGGCCGGACCTATCCGCTGGTCCATCAAACCAGCAACAACAAAAACAACAACAGCGACGCAGCAACAAGAATTCTCAGTTTTGTTGTCGTTGTTTTATTTCTTTCGGCTCGGCGGAGCACGCAGTGGGCCAGAAGACTGGTGAAGGCGGCAGAAATTCTAGACGCGTTTTGAGCTCCAGAGTCGGTAAATAGGACTCGAATCGAACGTGTGACCCCACCAACGGACTGCTCTTTGAACGAGGAATCCATTGGTGGGGTCACACGTTCGATTCGAGTCCTATTTACCGACTCTGGAGCTCAAAACGCGTCTAAAGTTTTAGTCGCCTGCACAGTAAATGTCTAACGGTGAAAGGCTGCACCCACATAATATGGTGGAGATTTTCTCCATAATACCAACGAAATTCGTCAAAACCTCTATAAGGTACAGTGAATTCTCAATGGTATGTTACGAAGTCAGCCGCACCACCATAATATGGAACATTTTCACCATAATGTGGAGAATCTTCACTGTGCAACATTTAGAGTGTGCCCCGGTCTTCTGGCCCACTGTGCGGCGGCCCGGCCTGCCGCCGCGCGTTCACCTCGCACGAGCAGCAGGTTCTCCGACGACGGGGGTCAAAGGTGAATGCGATAACGATCGGTTTGGCTTTGGCAGAGCAAGGCTTCGTCCTGGGAGTCCTGGGAGGGGTCGGCCCGCTCGACATTGATTTCTCCGGGTGCACTGTGGAAACCGGTTTTGATCAGACACGCCCCTCCTGAGGACGTTATGTACGCCAGTGCCCTGAATGGGGCTCGAATCGAACGCACGATGGTGTAAGCAGATTGCCCGTTGAACGAGGAAATCCACTGGCACCACCATGTGTTTGATTCGAGTCCTTTCACGTGCTCCAGGCGCGCTGACGGCCAGGCAAGCCTGCACAGGATAACTTTTGACGAACAACTTTGTACTTTGGTAATGTACACACTAAATTCGTATGGACTTTTTAAATGCATAAGGACGCATTTTTTATGCATAGTTATGCATGCGCAGAAACGTCCATAAGGTATGTATAAAATTATGCATCACTGTGCACATTTTATGCGTCTTCCTGCATAAAATGTACACAGTGATGCATAATATTATACATAACATATGGACGTATCTGTGCATGCATAACTATGCATAAAAAAGTCCATAAGAATTTAGTGAGTATGTAAACATGTGTAACGTTGTGCATAAAATTGTGCTAAAATTTGCATAAATTTCTGCATTTTTACGCACGATAATTAAAATTTCACGTGAGCACAAATCGTGCAAGTTACACGTACAAAATTCTAGACACACATTTAGGGTGCGCAGACTAAATGCTTATGGGCTTTCTGTAGATTATTATTAACGTTTTTCTGCAGGTGTAAGATGCGTAAAAATTTAGGTAAATTTTTTAACGTACTTAAGCACATTATGAAAATGTTGTCCATTATATTTTACATGTGCAGAAATATGGCAATACACTGGTAGAACAAAGGCATAAAAATTACGCCCTTTGGGGCATAAATACTCTTTTACGCCATTTAATGGCGTAGATCGTTTTATGCTCTTGTGAAGGGCGTGAATGATTAGGCATTTTAAGCAAAATTTTAATGCCCCTCTTAAAGGGGTTAACAATTCCAGCCGCGCACGGTAAAAATGAAACCTGAAGCCCTATGTTAAAAGGTAAAGGAGTTTCCAGGAGATTCCTGGGATTCCCAGGAAGCGTTTTTACCGTGCGCCAAAGGCGTAAATCGTTTACGCCCTCAGAGGGCATAGTTTTAATGGCTTTGTTCCGCCAGTGTGTGGTTATGGAAAATGAGAGAAAGTAAGCACCACACTCTAAATATTCTACAGTGAAGATTCTCCATATTATGGTGAAAATGTTCCATATTATGGTGGTGCAGCTGACTTCGTAACATACCATTGAGAATTCACTGTACCTTATAGAGATTTTGACGAATTTCGTTGGTATTATGGAGAAAATCTCCACCATACTATGTTGGCGCAGCCTTTCACCGTAAGACATTAACTGTGCAAGTGAGAAAACC